ACATGTATTTCTACACACGTATGCACATATACACACATACGTATAGAGGCGCATGTGAACGGGTTATTAGAATGAGGATAGGGTGTTTTAAATGTGTAACCAGGCCGATTTTGTGCCACCGTGTGCCCCGCTGTCAACCATTGTCATTTGTGACCAACTCGTGCAATTCCAGGACAAGCCGGTCAGGGTACGGAAAGATGTGAGTGGTGATGATGGGCCAGACTTAATTATTATACACAGACTGCGTGATGGAATATTTCTGAAGGCGGCGTATAACTACATTCAGTCATTTGAAAAAATCATAACACAAATACCAGTCACCCTCTTAAGCATCTTCCCGGGACAAGGGAGTTAACTGACTATTGACCAATCAGATTCCACCTTTTTTATCACTTTCATTTGCTTCAATAAAATGGCGTCGCCCAGTGAAGACGATCTCATCGATTTATTGTAATAAAAAGGGTCTTACTTCGCGAAGTGCATCAAATCACATGAGCACCTTTATTAAATACATGAAAAGATTTGGAAAATATCTATTGACGCTAAGTTGTCGGTACACATGCTTTGCAAATCCTGCAATCGACCGAAATCTGCACGGCAGTTCACGAACCGGATGTCGATTTCGTTTCGCGATTGGATTGTACTATGCATAGACTCGTTAGTCCAGCCAAACTATAACTACATAATTTCAGCCTAGTTCGGCAAGGATGGAAACTTTTATGGTCAGTTAACTCTCTTGCCTCGGGAAGATGCCTCCGGTGTAGCTGTGATTGCTCTTTCGGTTTGAGTTTAATTCAGACAGAAAAAACACATTACACCTTCTCGTCACCCGACCGCGCACCAACGGTACTGTGATCCCTAGCACCGTGAGGTCAACCTAGCAGACGACAGTTGTCGTCTGCGACATTTCCGTATAAATTGCATTTACTGGAAGCTACACCAACTTATTTCACGACTCAGCTGTGAATGAATGGAACTGAAGAGGCTGGGATGAAGACGGTCATGTTGCGTCTGTTCCCTGTGGAATTACTACGGTGACACTGCCAACATTTCTCCTGCCATATTAGCTGACGTTGAGTTAGATCGGTCGGCTGTGTGTTTGGTTCTTGGAGCTGACCGAGGACTATATACTACTTAACAGGTGTTTGAATTATATATAAAAAAGAATATTCTGTGTATACGTACGTCGCGTGATTTTGTACCAGAGATGCTATCACGGTATTGTTAAGACAGTCGTAGCGCCCCAACGCTTTGTGCATCGGGACACAATGTCCCTGCGTCGACACAGACTTATCACAGGCAAAGCATTAAATCGTTTTGTGGAACGGAACCGATGGGCTGGGCGCATGTCGGGATTTTTGTTGAGAAAAACATATTTTCCATGTTTTCTTAAAGACATTCAAACCGAATGATTATATTTTTTCACAAGACATATTTTTCATGACTTCTAGCATGTCGCCAAACCCCAACTCCAAATTTCCAATGTTTAACGCCACACTCAGCATTAATCCATCTTCCCAGGGCAAGGGCGTGAACTGACTTTAAAAGTCCACTTTCCACTGGAACACGGACTCTTTTAGTCAGTTAACGCCCTTGCCTCTCGGGTAGATGCATCAATCCAGGACCCGTGAAGATGCGGGGTAGAATAGGTCTTCAGCAACCCATGCTTGCGGTACAAGGCGACTATGCTTGTCGTAAGAGGCGACTAACGGGATCAGGGGGACAGGCTCGCTGACTTGGTCGATGCATGCCATCGATCCTAATTGCGGATTGTCTGGTCCAGACCGCCGTCTTATAGCTGGAATATTGCTGAGTGCGGCGTTAAACAACAAACAAACAAACAAACAAACAACAAAGCCTAAATCCAGCTATATGCTGTCTGTAGGTAACCGAGTTTGGACCAGACAATCCAGTGACTGAAATTGTGAATAACGACCCACACCGTCGGGGTACGGTGACACGCTTCCAACCAAGTCACCGAGTCTGACCACCCAATATATTTATCATTTTTTAAGACAAGCATAGAATGCTGGGAACCTATTCTAACCCGAAATCCCTCACGGCATTATGTGTGGGTGTCAGGCCGAGACATTTGTTCGTCACTGAAAACACTCACATTCTTTTCATGCTGGACCGCCTCCGTGGTCTTGTGGTAGAGCGTCCGCCCGGAGAGCGGAAGGTCCAGGGTTCGATCCCGGGCCGCGTCATACAAAAAGACGTTAAAAGATTGTACTTGTTGTTACCCTGTCTGGCGCTCGGCATTAAGGGGCTAAAACAAGGACTGGTCGGCTCGGAGTCAGTATACTGTGTCTGAGTGGGGTATTCATGTTAAACTGCGGCATGGTATCTCAGTGAGCTAACACTATAAATCGGCATCAGTCCGGACTAGTACAAGCAGCCACACACACACATACACGTGCATGCACGTCGCTATATAAGTGCAATAATCTTGGACGCGACGTTAAACCCAATTTCACCTCACCTCACCTCGTTTCATGCTGACTGGGACAAGTGATGAAGTCAATTTCACCGACGTCCCTGCCTTCTAGCAACGCTTACATTTGTCATAGCTGAATCACTTGTTGTAAGAGGAGGAGATATTCACGCATACATTGATCAATCAGTGTGACTCTTGTACGTTTTCGATCAGATGGTGATGGCAGAAAAGATGAAAGGGATCAAACATCAGGTTCAGCTTGATGGAATTCTTGCAGCGACAGCATCATTCATTGGTTGTCATGCAGCCACGCCAGCCTCCTATGTTGAATTCTGTATCTTTTGATGTGGTTTGTTTCAACCAAATGTATGCAAATTGCATTTATAGGAGTGTCTTATTACGAACTGGCATATGGTGATTCGAACATAACGCATAAGAATGACGTGATGCGTTGCTGTTATCGGGGATGGGAGACTTGTTCGGGCCAAGAGGATATTTTGACACATGTGTATTTGTTTCTTGTTGAACGCCGCACTCAGCAACAGTCCAGCTACATGACGGCGGTCTGTAAATAATCGAGTCTGGACCAGACAATCCAGTGTTTGGCATCATGAGCATCGATCGACGCAATTGGGATACGATGACATTCTTAACCAAGTCAGCGAGCCTGAACACCCGATCCCGATCCCGTTAGTCGACAAGCATAGTCGCCTTTTACGGCAAGCATGGGTTGCTGAAGACCTGTTTTACCCGGATCTTCACGGCAGCCGGCACATGTGTAAACCTCCATATCATAGTATAGCCTCTCTTATTAGTAAGTGCAGGAAAGAAAGTTTATGAAATTATCTCCGAGAGGAAGCGATCTAGAAAAACGCATGGATCGACAACACGTGTTGTAAACACTATGTCGGATCGACAAGACGTGTTGTAAACACTATGTCGGATCGACAACACGTGTTGTAAACACTATGTCGGATCGACAACACGTGTTGTAAACACTATGTCGGATCGACAACACTTGTTGTAAACACTATGTCGAGTGTCCCATAGTATCCAAAGTAATGTTATATTTAGTATCACATTTTTAACTGTTCCTCTCCCAAGTCCAGATCCTCCACCTGTGATCTTGTGCCTCAATAAAATCTCCGTCCCCAGGCTATTTCCAAAGACTGTCAGTCTCGAAGCTGCCCCAAATCCTCACCATGCTATGTAGCCAGGTTCCGGCTACTCTGCTGGATGTGATCAACTGTTGGCTATCCAGCTATAGAGTCAACAGTGGACGGTCCATCTTTATTAAGTAATCGTTGGCCATCCCGCTTTTTAAAACATGGCTCCTTGGTCTTTGACCGTGCATTAACTAACTGAAGTGACCAGTTTATCTTCTCCTTGATGATCAAAGCTCAATGATGATGTTTACCGCTAAAAAAATGAATATTTCTTGAAGAGTGCACTTTGCATGTTTTGTCATTACTTTAAGTAATATTCCCTATAGTCGGAATGGCTTGTTTTCACTTTGTAAGTTTTAGCACACACGCAGCTATCTTCGATAATTTATCATCGCGATATTTCGTGATTCTATTTCAAGTAGAGAGAACTAGAGGTACATTAAAATATCATGCCCAACACAATTTACAGAAGTTAGCTTCGGGGAGGCCCGGGGACTCTCTACAGCATATCCCCGGGACAGGGGGTTAGGAGGTTATTCTTGGAAAACCAAGTCCCCGCAAAAACAATAGGATTACGTCACTAAAGGTTTGTAACTAAACATTTCAAATATTAGACACCAGGTCGGAGTGCTCTAACCGTTACATAACCAACTGTTGGCTAGCCGACGACATGGCAACTGTGGGCTACCCCGCTATATGCTCAACTGTTGGATTTTTATCGTTTCCTAAACCAAACTGACATGGTCTTTTTGCCATTCCCAATTACATTCCACTTATCTCCCACTCTCAAAACGCATCCCAACCGTCTGCCCCATTTGACCTCGCCCATTGCTATATTTCACGAACGCTGTTTATCATATCCATCATGTCATCGTCCATCTTTCCATTACCCCGTCTCATCATGTCATCGTCCATCTCTCCATTACCCCGTCTCATCATGTCATCGTCCATCTTTCCATTACCCCGTCTCATCATGTCATCGTCCATCTCTCCATTACCCCGTCTCATCATGTCCATCTCTCCAGTACCACGTCTCATCAGGTCCATCTCTCCATTACCCCATCTGATCATGTCATCGTCCATCTCTCCATTACCCCGTCTCATCAGGTCCATCTCTCCATTACCCCGTCTCATCATGTCCATCTCTCCATTACCCCGTCTCATCAGGTCCATCTCTCCATTACCCCGTCTCATCATGTCATCGTCCATTTCTCCATTACCCCGTCTCATCATGTCATCGTCCATCTTTCCATTACCCCGTCTCATCAGGTCCATCTTTCCATTACCCCGTCTCATCATGTCATCGTCCATCTCTCCATTACCCCGTCTCATCATGTCATCGTCCATCTCTCCATTACCCCGTCTCATCAGGTCCATTTCTCCATTACCCCGTCTCATCATGTCATCGTCCATCTCTCCATTACCCGTCTCATCAGGTCCATCTCTCCATTACCCCGTCTCATCATGTCATCGTCCATCTTTCCATTACCCCGTCTCATCATGTCCATCTCTCCATTACCCCGTCTCATCATGTCATCGTCCTTCTTTCTATTACCCCGTCTCATCATGTCATCGTCCATCTCTCCATTACCCCGTCTCATCATGTCATCGTCCTTCTCTCCATTACCCCGTCTCATCATGTCATCGTCCATCTTTCCATTACCCCGTCTCATCATGTCCATCTCTCCATTACCCCTTTTCATCAGGTCCATCTCTCCATTACCCCGTCTCATCATGTCATCGTCCATCTTTCCATTACCCCGTCTCATCATGTCATCGTCCATCTTTCCATTACCCCGTCTCATCATGTCATCGTCCATCTCTCCATTACCCCGTCTCATCATGTCATCATCCATCTCTCCATTACCCCGTCTCATCATGTCATCGTCAATCTCTCCATTACCCCGTCTCATCAGGTCCATCTCTCCAGTACCACGTCTCATCATGTCATCGTCCATCTCTCCATTACCCCGTCTCATCATGTCATCGTCCATCTTTCCATTACCCCGTCTCATCATGTCCATCTCTCCATTACCCCTTCTCATCAGGTCCATCTCTCCATTACCCCGTCTCATCAGGTCCACCTCTCCATTACCCCGTCTCATCATGACATCGTCCATCTCTCCATTACCCCGTCTCATCAGGTCCATCTCTCCATTACCCCGTCTCATCAGGTCTATCTCTCCATTACCCCGTCTCATCATGTCATCGTCCATCTCTCCATTACCCCGTCTCATCAAGTCCATCTCTCCATTACCCCGTCTCATCAGGTCCATCTCTCCATTACCCCGTCTCATCATGTCATCGTCCATCTCTCCATTACCCCGTCTCATCAAGTCCATCTCTCCATTACCCCGTCTCATCAGGTCCATCTCTCCATTACCCCGTCTCATCATGTCATCGTCCATCTCTCCATTACCCCGTCTCATTAGGTCCATCTCTCCATTACCCTGTCTCATCATGACATCGTCCATCTCTCCATTACCCCGTCTCATCAGGTCCATCTCTCCATTACCCCGTCTCATCAGGCCCATCTCTCCATTACCCCGTCTCATCATGACATCGTCCATCTCTCCATTACCCCGTCTCATCAGGTCCATACCTCCATTACCACGTCTCATCAGGTCAATCTCTCCATTACCACGTCTCATCATGTCATCGTCCATCTCTCCATTACCCCGTCTCATCATGTCCATCTCTCCATTACCCCGTCTCATCAGGTCCATCTCTCCATTACCCCGTCTCATCATGTCATCGTCCATCTCTCCATTACCCCGTCTTATCAGGTCCATCTCTCCATTACCCCGTCTCATCATGACATCGTCCATCTCTCCATTACCCCGTCTCATCAGGTCCATACCTCCATTACCACGTCTCATCAGGTCCATCTCTCCATTACCACGTCTCAACATGTCATCGTCCATCTCTCCATTACCCCGTCTCATCATGTCCATCTCTCCATTACCCCGTCTCATCAGGTCCATCTCTCCATTACCCCGTCTCATCATGTCATCGTCCTTCTTTCTATTACCCCGTCTCATCATGTCATCGTCCATCTCTCCATTACCCCGTCTCATCATGTCATCGTCCATCTCTCCATTACCCCTTCTCATCATGTCATCGTCCATCTCTCCATTACCCCTTCTCATCATGTCATCGTCCATCTCTCCATTACCCCTTCTCATCATGTCATCGTCCATCTCTCCATTACCCCGTCTCATCATGTCATCGTCCATCTCTCCATTACCCCGTCTCATCACCCCGTCAGAAGCCAGATAGAAGGAACATAACTCGTAATAGCCACTGATGGGCTACGATCGAGCCTGGAAATTCCGGCCGTGTACGGCAAGGGTACAAACTGGACTTTTACAGTCAGTTAACGCCCTTGCCTCAGGAAGATGTCATCCCGTCAAAATCATGTCCATCATCAATCGCCCCGACACTCCATCCATCACATCATGTCCATCGCCCATCTCTCCATCACACCATCTCATCATAATTATCAATCGTCCATCTACCCATCTCTCCGTCACCCCACCTCATCATGTCCATCACAGCGTATAACAATTGTATAAGTGACTGTGTATCGGCCCTACAACAGCGAGCCGGTGACCGACTACATTCTCTCGGTGTCTCTCTCTACCCAGCAAGAGAGACCCTGGACGTCGGGCAGGACCTCTAGAAATACCGTCACTGACGTCCAATCGATTAGCTGGCCATATCAGCTCCCCATGTAGAGCAAGACTGACGTCAAACCTGTTAGCTGTTTATCCATTTCATTCACTTTTGAAGAAAATATTATTTGACGTTGAGTTCGTTTTACACGTATTTTTTAACTGCCCAGAATACCTCGATGAAATGTCACCATTCCATTTCTGATTGATTTACCTGCCGTTCTTCAGATATTTACACATGGCAAGGTAATCATTGTTGTGACGTCAGCACGTCCTTTAGAAAATACGAGGTTGTGTTGGAAGATAGGACCAGATTAAGATTTAAGATAAGACAGTCGTGGTATTTCATTGTGCAAGAAGATATAACGTTATTCTCGTAATACATATTAGCATTCTTTATGCTGGAACAGGATCAGGCAGCTGTCACTTATTGAGCCAGCCCTTCTCGTACATTGAGGGTTATTTTCACAATCGAAAAACCATGTCTTGTTTGTTTCGTTTTTGTCACCTTCCTACATGGGTGTATACTTTTTTTTGCCCGGCCGCTTTGAACAATTAGGGGGTTCTAGGTGTGAGTGAGTGAGTGAGTGAGTGAGTTGGGTTTAACGCCGATTTTAACAGTATTCCAGTTATAGCGCGGCGTGTCAGCTTAATGTGGGAGGAAAGCCCGAAGTGATGCAGGTCTCAGACGTTTACCACTTCGGTGAAACCCACGAGCTCGTGTATGGTGCTGACAAACCTATAAACATAATCGGGGCGAAATTGGATTCGAACCATCATAGGTTTGTGGCGTGCCCAAGGGACTCAACTCTGCACAGCGAATCGCTGTCACTTAGAAGATTGGGCCACCCGTGCCCCTACCAGTTCTGGGTGGATTCATATAATGAGCAACATCGCACGCTCAAATGACACGTACAAAAATGTATTCAAGTTACCGAGCCTGACCACCCGATTCATTAGGTCGCCTCCTACGAATAGCGAAGGTTCCCAATTCTAATCCTGAATCACCACGCCGTCCCCGAGAGTATAAGTAGAACGGATGTGGTATACAACAAACAGTCAACTTTATGGATAACAATTTCTGCATTTATCGACGTTTAGACCGCCTCCGCGGTCTACTGGTAGAGCGTCAGTCCGGAGCGGGGGAAGTCCGGGGTTCGATCCCTGGCCGCGTCACACCAAGAGACGTTAAAAGATGGTACTTGTTGTTACCCTGTCTGGTGCTCGGCATTAAGGAGTTAAAACAAGGTCCGGTCGGTTCGGAGTACACTGTGTCTAAGTGGGGTATTCATGTTAAACTGCGGCATGGTATCTCAGTGAGCTAGCACTATAAATCGACATCGGTCCGGACTAGTACAAGCAGCCACACACACACACACACACACGTGCATGCACGTCGCTATATAAGTGCAGTTATTCTTGGACGCGACGTTAAATCAAATTTCATCTCACCTCACCTCACCTCACCTCACCTCACCTCACCTCACCTCACCTCACCTCACCTCACCTTATCGACTTTTAGATGTAGATTCTGACACCGTTATCAAGCTGGGGAGACAACAGTGAGTGAGTGAGTGAGTTTGGTTTAACGCCGCTTTTAACAGTTTTCCAGTTATATCGCGGCGTGTCAGCTTAATGTGGGAGGAAAGTCCGAAGTGATGCAGGTCTCAGACGTTTACCACTTCGGTGAAACCCACGAGCACGGGTATGGTGCTGACAAACCTAGAAACATAATCGGAGCGAACCGGGATTCGAACCCACAATCATAGGTTTCTGGCGTGCCCAAGGGACGCAACTCTGCACAGCGAATCGCGGCGCCTTAGACGACTGGGCCACCCGTGCCCCCTTGGGAGACGACAACCAAGTGAAGAGAGAATAACAAAAAGCAAACAAGTAATGAAGCTAGGTGTACAGTAAGGATCAGGAAGACTTCTGGAATGTCAATCATGCAAACGGATATGATATTGGACAACAATTAAGAAACACTTGAACAGTCATATTTAGTATGAAGTGTTACAATAAATAGTATAATGTATTGCACTCGAGTACATGTAAAGTGGAACTCCGATAAAATCATTACATCAATCAATCGTTAAACCGTTCTCTATGAAATCGTCGGGGTTTAGAATTCGGTAATACTCTGTGTCAATATTTTTTTTTATACTACTCGTTGCCAACACTAATCACGATCTGACGAGATTTCACTGTAATATTTATGTGAGAATAAAACTAGTGATATTGGAATGTTGACCTAGGTGGTGGTTGCTGACTAACTTTTGCATCCTGGCTTCGTTAGGTTTGATCTGACTTGTGATTTTATACTGACTGGTGGTAGGCCGAGACAGGCTGACAAGAGTTACTCCCCTTGCATTACAGGTCAACACTCGGGGTATTGTTCATATTGTATACATTGTGAGAATCTGATAAACTAATTATATTATTTATCATTTTGAGTCCTGTCCGTATATTTGTCATGAGTCGTAATAAGATCTAACTATCTTGTAGACCAGTCACTGTTTTGCACAAACAAATGGACTAGCTGGTCTGTGCGGACGCCATGTGTTGTGTTGTTTTATGTATTTCTTTAAGATACACTCGGAGTCCGCTGGAGGATGAAAAGCTGCGTTCACATTTAATGCTGAAACACAGAGTGTAAGTTGGTTACCAAGGTTGATATGAAGTTAAATTCAGACTAAAATAACTAGTGTTAATCAGTCATTATCCGATCTCTTTTTTATGAATCATCTGCTCCCGAAAATGCTGAAAAAATATTTTGTCTTCCGGTTTAACCAAAAAATGTGTTGTTAGACATGTTAGGTGTTCTGAATAAATGCCTTGTTGTATTGTGATGTCCTGCCTGATGTAGTGTAATGTCTTATTCTTTATGTAGTGTAATGTCTTAGTCTTTATGTAGTGTAATGTCTTAGTCTTTATGTAGTGTAATGCCCTGTGTGTAATGTCTTAGTCTTTATGTAGTGAAATGTCTTGTGTAGTGTAATGTCTTAGTCTTTATGTCGTGTAATGTCTTAGTCTTTGTGTAGTGTAATGTCTTGTGTAGTGTAATGTCTTAGTCTTAATGTTGTGTAATGTCTTGTGTAGTGTAATGTCTTAGTCTTTATGTAGTCTAATGGCTTGTGTAGTGTAATGTCTTGTGCTGTGTAATGTCTTTGTCTTTATGTAGTGCAATGTCTTGTGTTGTGTAATGTCTTAGTCTTTATGTCGTGTAATGTCTAGTGTAATGTATGTCTTAGTCTTTGTGTAGTGTAATGTCTTAGTCTTTGTGTCGTGTAATGTCTAGTGTAATGTATGTCTTAGTCTTTATGTCGTGTAATGTCTTGTGTAGTGTAATGTCTTAGTCTTTGTGTCGTGTAATGTCTTGTGTAGTGTAATGTCTTAGTCTTTATGTCGTGTAATGTCTTGTGTAGTGTAATGTCTTAGTCTTTGTGTCGTGTAATGTCTTGTGTAGTGTAATGTCTTAGTCTTTATGTCGTGTAATGTCTAGTGTAGTGTTATGTCTTAGTCTTTATGTCGTGTAATGTCTTGTGTAGTGTAATTTCTTGTGTAGTGTAATATCTTAGTCTTTGTGTAGTGTAATGTCTTAGTCTTTGTGTCGTGTAATGTCTAGTGTAGTGTATGTCTTAGTCTTTATGTCGTGTAATGTCTTGTGTAAAGTAATGTCGTAGTCTTTATGTAGTGCAGTGTCTTGTGGAGTGTAATGTCTTGTGTAGTGTAATGTCTTGTGGAGTGTAATGTCTTGTGTAGTGTAATGTCTTGTGTAGTGTAATGTCTTGTGGAGTGTAATGTCTTGTGTAGTGTAATGTCTTGTGTAGTGTAATGTCTTGTGTAGTGTAATGTCTTGTGTAGTGTAATGTCTTGTGTAGTGTAATTTCTTGTGTAGTGTAATGTCTTGTGTAGTGTAATGTCTTGTGGAGTGTAATGTCTTGTGTAGTGTAATGTCTTGTGTAGTGTAATGTCTTGTGGAGTGTAATGTCTTGTGTAGTGTAATGTCTTGTGTAGTGTAATGTCTTGTGGAGTGTAATGTCTTGTGTAGTGTAATGTCTTGTGTAGTGTAATGTCTTGTGTAGTGTAATGTTTTGTGTAGTGTAATTTCTTGTGTAGTGTAATGTCTTGTGTAGTGTAATGTCTTGTGGAGTGTAATGTCTTGTGTAGTGTAATGTCTTGTGTAGTTTAATGTCTTGTGTAGTGTAATGTCTTGTGTAGTGTAATATTTTGTGTAGTGTAATGTCTTGTGCAGTGTAATGTCTTGTGTAGTGTTATATTTTGTGTAGTGTAATGTATTAGTCCTTATGTAGTTTAATGTCTTGTGTAGTGTAATGTATTGATGCGCCGACTCAAATCCAGCTCTGAAAGCCAACTGTTTTGATTGATGCTACATCTTCTACACGATGCCACTTAAAGATATACTGCAACCATGTACTGCCACCGCACACACCAAGGGAGCTAGGTTAACCCATTTGTTTCATATGACTACAGTTAACTGTCAGGTCCAACTAACGTGTGGCCATGAAAGCCTAACTGTAGTCATGTGAAAATATCGGTTGTTATTCAACTTCTTTTGAGTAGAATATATTATGATACTATTATTGTGCGTTCTAACCCCAGGTTCGCCCTGATTATATTTCTAGGGTTGTCAGCACCATACCCGTGCTCGTGGGTTTCACTTATAAATGGCTAACGTTTTAGTCCTGTCCCACTTCGGGCTTTCCTCTCACATTAAGCTGACACGCCGTGATATAACTGGAATGCTGTTAAAAGCTGTGTGAAACGAAAACATGAACTGCCTTCATATAAAAAATATTTGTTTATTTGTATAGCAGCGTCATACCTTGGTATTGTGTTCAACCAATCTCATTAAAATCAGACCTTAGTTCTCGCTACCGCTAAACAAAGATCTGAGGACATCCCATTACGGGTCACGTCAGACCGACCTTGCGTGAACTTTGACCGACCAATAGAGTGACCAATCAGAAGGCAGCTTTCTCGTGCTTTACGGCACTAATTTCAAATTGGCGACTACGCTTCGAAACATATTTTGACAAATTCTCGATTACAAATTTGAAACCCAAACAAAAGAACATTCTGGAATGGCTAATAGATGGTCTAGATTGTATGGAATCAGTCGTTAAACCTGAAACTATCGTTCGGAATACCCCGTGTTAAAGTTTTCGAGGTTGTATGATTAGAAATCACATTCCGACTGTCACTTTCATGATCTGGTAAGCGACGCTCTCATTGGTCGGATGAAAGGTCGTTCTGATGTGACCGCTAAACGACCGGGTATACAATTGCATGTTTTAGTTATCTGCAATCGGAGCTGGTCCTTCTGGTTCGTTTTCGAGATAAAATAATAATTTCGTCAGCCCATGCAATATCATTGATATTATTAATTATGGATTATATTCCCATTGTAATAAGTATTTTAGTCTTTTTGTCCCCACACCTTTTGTCAGTTATTTTAGGGGCCCATTGTAGGCATTGTCTTCACTTGTTATTATCAGTAGATGACTGCCAACAAAAATATTGAAATTTTCTTAAAGGGTTAAAGACTCGGAAGGAAAATGAATAAAACTAGTGTGAAAATATATTTTGCATTTAGCATGAGTCGAACCAGCGAAACAGTGATCACAATCTCACATGAAAGAAGGTTGTCCCGAAACGCAGTTACTTCCCCTGGCTAGTCACGTGATTATTGTCAACACAATGTCGGTGACGGTGCATATTGAGTATTGGTGAGTAGTTTTTCTTCAGTATTTCTTTACTTGTCCCCGGACAAACATTTCGATAAAATGTGCTCATGTGGTGCCGTATTTCTGAACGTTCTTTAAAACTGTTTGACAGAATAATTCATTCAGAACAAGCTGAGTTTATCGTGTTTGTTGGACAATGCACAGATGATTATTCAGGATTGCTGAGTCGCATGTGCAAATGGTGTTTAGAAGCTACCGTGACGCAATGTAACTTGCGCTTCAATCAGCTGGCTTGACTTGACTGTCGGTGTGGACAGTGGGTGGGCCTATGCATCACCTCGAGATGTATAGGCTAATCAGCTGAACATTAGCCCTGGCTATCTGAGAGAAGATTAGCTATTTCAATATTTGGTTGAAGCCGAGAACTAGCCTAGCCTATTATCATCAGAGTGTTTAGAATGTCTGTGCCACCACACCTCACGTTATGGCGGGAGTAATCGCGATAAACATGGCCATCCGAAAACATATGATGTCCAAAAACACAAACACTTCCCAAAACAAAGACATAACCAACAGGATCGGGTGGTCAGGCTCACTCACATGGTTGATGCATGTCATCGTATCCAAAATGAGACAAAAAAGCAAATTTCTAGGGCTGCTCATGCAGCCTACCACTGGTATTCCAAGCCCTAACTTGCCTTTTCTTCACAATGATAGATTGGGCATATGGAACTGTATTCACTCACTCACCATTCTGAGATCACCAGGTATGGCACTCCTGGGTAGTGAACCCCTAATTTAGTCAAATTACACTAAATACCCGATTTCAAGGTACATTGGTTCGATCATGTTGATGTGCCTCGTAAGTGCAGTCAAGATCTTTTAAAAAGACAACTGATATTGTAAGAACAGCACAAAATTCTGTAAACCAACTAAATAACATTAATCCCCTAAAGTAAGCTAAGGACCGTAGTCATAACTGATGCAGTGCCACTGCATTCATAATCATATTCACTGGGGCCAGTAGTTGTACAGACCCGTGAAGATTCCGGGGTAGAATAGGTCTTCAGCAACCCATGCTTGCCGTAAAAGGTGACTATGCTTGTCGTAAAAGGCATGTCATTGATCCCAATTGCTTGGATCAATGCTTATGATTAATCACTGGTCCAGACCCGATTATTTACAGACCGCCGTCATATAGCTGGAATATTGCTGAGTGCGGCGTTAAACAACAAAGCAACCAACAGTTGTTGTACAGAAACCATGTGGCTGCTAGCGATTAACAGTCTTTACACCAATGACAGTGCATAACATTCCACTGGAGATGCTGGCCAGACCCATTCTTGAGAATGAAGTTTAGTTAAAGTGCAGCTAATGTTCATGCTGGGATTTACATGGTCCATCAATCTCCAAGTCAAAAGGAAACTCAGTAATAATAGTGTGGTTCCAAGGCAAGGATATTGGGGGGCTAGGTTGTTGATATGTGCAAAGTTGTAAAAAAATATAATCATTCCACATGGTCAGAAGCCATTGACACACAGAACAGTGAGCATACCAGCGTAGAAATGTCAGTTTATATGTGACATGCAATCTACGATTTTTATCAATTTATGATTCAAATGTATCTTGTGTGTGGTATTGGCCAGGACCTAGGTTATAATTACTAAAACTGCTTCCATATTTATGTTAATTTGTGTGATATTGTCAAACACACCTATTCTGTGTTCCAGTGGCGGATGAGGTTACGAACCTCGGTATCAGGAACTCAAGCAATGGCTTAGCTCCCGTACCGAGGCGGAGATCACTGGAGCTGTTGGACGGAGCTGTGAGTATTGTCGGTATTAAGTAATTGTAGATGATGAACATAAAATCAATACATGACCAGTTATCATGGTTATCAAACATTGTCTCTGGAGCCGCAATTTCTTGTGCCGAGTTGTGTCTTTTCGCATGTTTATGCATGTGAGAATCCAATGTTCATGGGTTCAAATCCCACACACCCAGGCAGATTATGAAACTTTATCCTTGGTTTGTCAGCACCATGTGTTAATGGTAATACAGGAATCATGTGCGTCTCAGTTCAGACCTTTGAAGATCCGGGTAGAATAGGTCTTCAGCAACTCAGGCTTGCTGTAAAAAGCTACTGCTTGTCGTAAGAGGCGACTAACGGGATCGGGTGGTCAGGCTCGCTGACTTGGTTGATGCATGTCATTGATCCCAGTTGCGTGGATCAATGCTCATGATGTCAATCACTTGATTGTCTGGTCCAGATTATTTACAGACAGCCGTCATATAGCTGGAATATTTACAACAAACAAACAAACAAATCATGGGTTCAGATGCAAGAATCATACTGATAATGCTTCTTGGTTTGTAAACACCACAAGTTTCACCAAATTTGTCTGGGGCCTACATCACTTTTGGGCTTTCCTGTCACATTATCCTGATTTGTCATATATATTCTTATCATGCTTATTTATTTATAGCCTACAATGATTGACTGAATAGCCATTGGCATCATCATGATCATAGGATATGCCACTTTTCACAAGCCTCAGTTAATACTCAGTATCTGAACTTAATCATCTTTCAGCTTCATTTGAAGTGACTGTGAATAACAAGCTCGTGTTCTCCAAGCTGCAACTGGCTGGATTCCCCGACCAGGAGGATGTGAGTAGACTGTCTTGATTAGGAGATGAATCTAGTGGGTTTTTTTGGAGGTTTCAAACACAGGTTTGATATCAGCAAATTTCACATTTGGAATGCGATAGCTAGCCATAATAGCTTTAGGTTTTGAATTTGAAATATTTACAGGTTTCAATCATGGTCTAACATAGATTCAATAACTCTGACAGACCAGGCTTGCAGGATTCTGAAATGTCATGGTTGAATTATATTATTGTAATGGTACCAGGCATTGGGTCCACAGGGGCTTGTAATGCAGAAATTATCAGCAAGCTCTATATTGTCACTGCCTGGGTCATAGTTATATATATTAGAAGATCCATGACCCCAGTAGTGACCATGTATAGACTGCTGATAAATATTTGCATTACAAGCGTCTGTGATTTCATCGATAGTATAATTTATCAGTTTCTGGAGATTATATATCCATTAGATATTTTTGATTAGAGTATTAAAAAATGATAATGGAAAACTCTTTATGTATAACAAATGATATCTAGCAGGGATCCTAGGAGTGCAGTAGGGTATTTATTACTGTAAATGTAGCTATGGGTACTTAAACTTTGAAATTCAATCGTTAATGGGATATACACGTATACATGTGAAGTATTTCCCTGTATATTTCAGGTCCTCTTGGCAGTCAAGGAAGCAGAACAAGGCCTGGAGCCTAAAACAATCACTGATTCCAAGAGCCCAGGATGCATCATTCTCTAGATTTTCACTCACTGATAAAGTCCATCAATGCTGAAGCTCTGTATCTACGTCAGAGTTGCCTCCCCTATGGTGGCCTGTGCTTAAACTCAGAGCATGGGCCGGAGATCTGGCGGAGCTCTGACCGAGGAACAGACCATGCAGTGGCGATGGGACTTCTTGAAGTGCCCCTGCTAACCAACTGATATTTTGTCAAACTATGTAGTGCTAATTTCACAAATTGTACCTGAAAACTTTGAAGAGGTCAGCTGAAGTGATTCTAATGAATCGATGATCATCTTAGATATGTGTGTTCAGTCGTACACACATTCACTGGTACAGGTACATTTGTTCTGTCAGTAAAAAACTATCATGGTTTCCTTATATAATATGTTAAATGATTACATTAACTCATTCCTCAGATCAAATTTGTTCAAACATTTAGTTCCCAATAAATAACCTATTGATACTTTTTGAAATTATGTTCACAGCCTTGTGATGAATTTCATATGCTGGCACACTTGTTGGAGAAATATAGTGTCGTCTGCTTGCCAGTATTTAACGGGTCAACAAAAGTTGTATTCATAGGCAGCAAAATTTTTAGGTTTATTTTGTCATCATGTATATAATGCATGTTATTTATTGGAATTGAATTATGAGTATTAAAATGTTTTCCCATTCAGTGCAGGTGTCATAATTTCATGAATAGTATATCTTTGGAATATAGGACAACATGTCAGATGCTATACATCACATTTACTTTTCATTAACAATTCCTGATCTATTCAGGAACTGCCCTGTCAAGGTGCACAGAAGTCCACCCTGACCTGAAATACAAATCTGCAAATTTAAACCCAAGGAACTGTTACCATGGTTACAAGATAGAGACACAAGGACGTGAAGCTTACCTGAATATTTGCATTATCGATCAAATCTTTTGAAATTAGGGTCTTTTGATATGACAAGGGATCCAACCACTGACCTTTCGCTCTATCAAACGCTCTATCCACTAGACCACAGAAGTGGTCTAAGTTTAGATATGCACTGAACAATAAGTGTTTATACAACAGACATACAGTAATTATGCAGCCTCATGGACATGGGGATGCTTAAAGGTATTCCTTATAGGGCAGGGTCGAGATCGCAAAGGTAATGTCTTAACTTTGTATGAGGCCAAGATCACAGTGAATAGCATTTTCCATTTTCATTGTAATGCTTATTTCTTCAGATATGATTTTAAATCTTATATATGTAGTTGTTATATTTGACTACAATTGCATGACAGGTCACAGTGACCTACTTTCAATGACTAGCACATGCAACTTTTTCATTGTGACAATTATGCTTTATATGCTGCATATGACTTTTGACTTTTAGCCCCTTAATGCCAGCCTCAGGCAGGGTAACAACAAGTACCATCTTTTAACGTCTTTTTGTATGACATGGCCAGGATTTGAACCCCTGATCTTTCACTCTCCGTGCAGACACTCTACCACTTGACCACGGAGGCAGCCAGCTGCAGATGGGAAAGTTTTGGGGGCTTTCACAAAATGTGGGAATGCTCTGTTTTTTCCATGTAATGCAAATAACTTTCTGGTGACTTTGCAGTAATTTTCAAGAAGATTCCTGGGCACAACAGCACATTTTCCAGTTTGATGTGAAATTGCAGTAATACTAGATTTTTTGGCAAGATTCAATCTTCTGAAACTTTTCATTTTGAAAGACACACCTAGACATGATAATATGTAAATGGTTATATTATGAGCTTATAAATTACAGTTCAGTATGCCTGTCACATACTATATAGGAGTCATTTTCGGCACTTAGAACCCAGTGGTTTCTGAGATACTGGACATGTTGGAAATGAAAAATACTTAGATTGATGGGGGTATGTGAAAACTCCAACATCATATCCCTTGTTTTGTCTAAATAATCCAGCGATTGACATCATGAGCATCGATCTACACAATTGGGATACAATGACATGTCTCAACCAAGTCAGCGAGCATGACCACCTGATCCTGTTAGCATGGTTAGTCGCCTCTAACGATGAGCATTGTCGCATTTTACGGCAAGCATGACAACATGCCGTGACCAGGTGACAAGGTCACTATAACTGTCTGATGTTCTGATGAGCTAAAACACTTTCACTACAGACAGCCATAACTGCTTGTTGTGTTACACAGTAGTCAGCAATATTCCAGTTGTATCACAGCAGCCTCTAAATAATCCAGTCTCACAGAGACAACTTGAACTTGTAGTAAATTATAGTCTCAGTATTGTTGCTAGTATTAACTATTTTGCCGTATTGGAAACAAAATTACTGGACTCGGGTCACAGGAACAAACGAGTTATTGGTCAGTAAATAAAAAATAAGACCCCTATATATAAGTACACAAGACTAGACAGCGGGTATATATACTCTTCAAAAAAAGAAACTTGACATAGATGTAAAACCACTTTTTGCCAATGTCTAAAATAATTACATTAAAGGGGAAGTGTACACGCAAAAATCACTTTCTTTCTTTTTCTAAACAAAACGCAATTTTAGAATTAATTAGTATCTGTGTTTGAAAATATACACTCATTTTTTTCACAGTGAAAGTAGGAAGCTCACAATAGTGTGAAAATGATATGCCGTTATGAGGCCTTCGATTTTCGAGCTAAACAGGCCTGAGTTATCCCCCTTAGATTATGACGTAATTGGTCCCAATTCAACTGGGTCCCTGTCTATTCTCAACGCAAAAGATATCAAGTACCAGTTTGCGGTAAAACAACATGGCCTACGACACACTCCGGCGCAGTGGTGACTCAGCATAACACTATGCTGGCTGGCATCTGAGACGCTAGAATCACACACCTAGACCTACACCACGTGAAGCGGCTCTAACAAAGCATGATGACGTCATAATGTTTATCAATTGGCACCAATGACGTCATATTGCAAGGGGCATAAGCCATGGTGTTTTTGTTGTGGAAATAGAACACTTGGTAAATGTGAAAAATATAAATCGCTTTAATGCGAAAAATATGTTAATTAATTGTGATATTTTTATATTTTTGTCTATGACACTTCTAGGTTAACACTTTTAATGTGGAAAAAGTACAAGAAAAATAGGTTTATTTCCGTGTGAACTTGCCCTTTAAATGAGAACCAAATAAGTCAAACAGAAAGATGATGTGTCTATAATTCGCGAAAACACATGCAAAGCACATAAACCTAGCGTTTGGGGATCAATTTTACAGCCTCATCCAAACGCAACCGCCTGTAAAAAACGTGCAGCACAGGATCCTGCATTTAGGCATGCAGGCCCCCCTGCTGAATGGGTATAAAAATCCACATCAACGGCTGTTCATACAGTCCTTATAACGGCAGTAGAGGTGGTGACAGAATGCCAAGACTGAATGCAGCTCAACGGAACAACGCAATTGGGAGATTACAAGCTGGAGCAACTCGGCAAGAAGTGGCCAGGAACTTTGGCGTATCCAGACAGATAATCTCCGCACTGTGGACCCGATACAACAACACCAACAGAGTTGACGACAGACCAAGGTCAGGAAGACCAAGGGTGACAACTCAAGCACAAGATCGATACATCCGGCTGCGACACCTCCGAGACCACACTACCACAGCCACGTCTACAACCACACAGATCCCTGGGGTACGCAGAATATCAGATCAAACGGTATGCAACAGACTGATGGAGGCTGGACTTTTTGCACGAAGACGTCATGTATTGACCCTACGTCATCTTGCGGACCGTCTGCTTTGGTGCCAACAGAGAGACCATCTGCACGTGCAAGGTGGGGAAATGTACTGTTTACTGACGAGTCCCTTTTCCTACTCACACGTGCTGATGGGTGCGCACGTGTCTACAGACGTCGGGGTGAACATTACGCCCCCAACTGTGTGCAGCAGGTTGTCCCATTTGGTGGCAGGAGTGTCATGGTATGGCCCGGAATTCATCACGGTGGTAGGACGCCTCTCGTGCATGTGACAGGTGTGCGTTACAGAGACTTGATCCTACAGCCTTACGTTCTTCCTCACGATTTGTCCCCGAGTGAGCAACTTGATTGCATCTATGGGTCGTCGGTGTCAAGCGGTGATTGATGCACATGGTGGGCACAACCAATACTGACATTATCTGTACCCCTGTGACATTAACTGTATCGTGTATGTGTGTCTGTCTAGGTGACACGATTAATGTTTTGAACATTGTGTACAATGATCTTCAAACAGTGTTTCAACTAGAAAGTGTTTTTACTCGTAAAAACATATGTCTCCCCCCACTCCCCTAACCCCCATTCATTCGTTTACTTCACGTTAAACCCCATCTCTTCATTCCCACCCTCCATTACTAAATAACAGAGACAAAAATAGAACTCCTAGAAATTTCAAACAACTAATGGGCACCACTTCAGCGTCTAATCAACACCACTTATCCCTCAATCATTTACCCACCTGACAGTGTAGTCATCTAAGTAGCACAGTTTTCTTGTTACTGAAGTATTTGTAGAAAATCCACTTAAAGTACTAATAGAGTTTGGACACAAATATATTAATATCCCCAACATATCAGAAATGATGTAGCAATGTTATATGGCACAAAGGAAAGTCTCTGTGATGTAATTGCCCGTGTATCTGACTCTGCAGGTCTTCTACACAATGACATATGTGATGTCATGGAAACTGTAACAGCAAAAGGCACCACTTCAGTGCTGGGTTAATGTGTATGCAAAGTTTCGCGAAAAAATATTAAACGGTTTCTGAGTTATGGTCAGGAAACAAAGCTTACCCCCATTCAGAGCCTATGTTCAACTTATCTCCATGGAAACGAGAAAAAATAAAAATGTCAAAAATCTCTAAATAGCAAAAGGCACCACTTCAGTGCTGGGTTAATGTGTATACAAAGTTTCGCGAAAAAATATTAAACGGTTTCTGAGTTATGGTCCGGAAACCAAGCTTACCCCCATTCAGAGTCTATGTTCAAGTTATCTCCATGGAAACGAGAAAAAATAAAAATGTCAAAAATCTCTAAATAGCAAAAGGCACGACTTCAGTGCTGGGTCAATGTGTATACAAAGTTTCGCGAAAAAATATTAAACGGTTTCTGAGTTATGGTACGGAAACGGTGGGAACGCCGACGCCGACGCCGACGCCGACGCCGACGGGAACCGTGCCAAAAACAATATGTCTCCCTCCATTCTGGGGGAGACATAATTATTGTTTCTGTGTCCTATTTTGAAACAATCGCATTATATTTCAGTGTCAAGTTTCTTTTTTTGAAGTGTATATTTTTATTTACTGACCAAAAATGAGTTCCTGTGTCTTGGGCTCATCTTGGAGCGGTATATTTGTAAAATATGTAACTTGTCTCGCATGAATCTACCACAATCAGAAAGGTTCCTCAGAACAGTGTGCTTATTTGCCAACAGACTTATTTACCCTCACCGTGTGTGTCAGGGCAGACACTGTTGGTCAAATCCAACTAGTCCGCAGCTCATTTCTGAGAAGTTGGGATGTAAAATAGGTTTTGGTAGAAAACAACTAGTCCATGTAGTCCCTCTGGATTTTATCTAGTCTCAGACAACGGACTAGTAGCCGTGTCTAGCTCTGTTTGACAGGTTAAACAATTTTGAAGCAGTCTCCTTGTGGAGAGTCAAAATGGCTTTACACTCCTTTTTTATATTCAAGCTACGACTATAAGTAGGAAGGAAACAGAATGGGCTTTACGCATTGTACCCATATCGGGCATCAACCCTGGTATCCATCCATGCCTTATCCACAAACCCCATATATGAGAGGCACTAGATGAGAGTTCCTGTTGGCAATCGATTAATACAATCACAACCAATGAAGAGGACTGGCTAGATGACCAGGGCCATGTTAGAGTATGGGACTTACGATTTTTGTAGCGCTAAGATCATTTTGTGCAAGTGGGCCCAGGAAAGGTGATGGGCGGAAACAGACAAGCTGAATCAGGCCAACATAGAAGTTTCATGTATGGACAGGTGCTCCCGCTGTTCACCCACTCATTCAGTGTAGGTATTAGTTTCCAAAGATCACGGGCCAGGAGAGCTTGCAATCTCCTTAAAATCAGATTTTAGTTCTGGCTACCGCTAAACAAAGATCTGAAGACATCAAATAAGGGGTCACGTCAGGACGCCCTTTCATCCGACCAATCAATGCCTCGCTTACCAGATCATGAAAGTGACAGTCGCAATGTGATTTCTAATCATGCAATCTCGAAAACTTTAACATGGGGTATTCCGAACGATAGTTACGGGTCTAACGACTGAATCCTTACAATCTAGACCATCTATTAGTCATTCCAGAATGTTATTTTGTTCAGGTTTCAAATTTGTAATCGAGAATTTGTCAAAATATGCTTCGAAGCGTAGTCGCCAATTTGAAATTTGTGCCGTAAAGCACGAGAAAGCTGCCTTCTGATTGGTCATTCCATTGGTCGGTCAAAGTTCACGCAAGGTCGGTCTGACGTGACCCATAATGGGATGTCTTCAGATCTTTGTATAGCGGAAGCGAGAACTAAGATCTGATTTTAATGAGAATGGGAGAGCTTGTTAACAATGTTGCAATGCCTTGTCATATTTTACTAGCCCAAAACACTTCCACTAATATGCGAAATGAATACAAAATGACAGCAGTTATGACATTAAATGATGCCTTAACTGACTTGATTCGTAGAAAAAAATATGTATTGACTATGGTTTTCAACTGGACAGTCAAGCCAGCTCTACGGAAATGTTACTAGCCCAACTTAAAAGTCACTGGCATTTGGCCAGCAGGCAGGCAGCTTATTTCCAACACTACACTCAATTCTCTCTTCATGTGGACATTGCTATCACTGTTCTAGTCTTCATGAAGGGCATATAACCAGAGGCTGAGAAATATAATGAACACCTTGCTCAGAAGCATGTTTTATTTTGTACTTTGTCTTCATAGTATCTCGATCACAGTGTTTAAGTATGTTTCAGTCAACATGAATTCCCCATCACTGGGATTCTTCTTTCCTATTGCAGTGTTATTCCACAGTGTTATTTACATGAATCCTATGTAATCAAGTCACACAGCTGATCTGTCTTTGCTAAATGTCTTCTCACTAATCAGTATCCACCTCGACCTGTTTCGTTCATTAGTTTGTCGGTGATGTTTCTTTTTTGCAAGCGTTCGCTCGTCACACCGAAGACCCGGGTTCGATTTCCGACATGGGTACAATGTGTGAAGCCCATTTCTGGTGACCCCCGCTGTGATATTGCTGGAATATTGCTAAAAGCGGCGTAAAACCATACTCACTCACTCACTCGTTTTTTGCCAATTGAGGCAAGACTTTCAGTTTAAGTCAAAGTCTCATTCACTTCCAAACTTTGGTAAAATAATGGTTTCTGGGTGTTGAGTGATGTTGTCAGTCCTGTCACTATGACTGACAGTTCATTCTTTGACATTTAGCTTTTCAATACCCTTGGCAACTTTCTCATCATCTTCGTCTTCATCTTCCTCATCATCATCATCATCTTCGTCATCATCGTCGTCTTCATAGTCTTCATCATCTACCAAGCATTAGAAGTAATTGTTCAGATGCTTGTTCAAAGCATTTCATTAACATAAAAACATGATATCAGTTGATAAGTCTGAAGTTGAAAGGAATATTTAAGCCCCGTTCAACAAAGCAATCATGGTGCTTTGACTGCCTTACATCTATGTTACAGCATGGGAGTGTCGATCGTCTAAGATCACTTCGTGGAACAGGTCCCTGATCATTGTAATGTCAAACAAGAACAGTGTTATAACTCATGTATATTTCATTTTAGTTTAGTTAAATCACTCTTGAAATATACACTTATTCCTTTAGTCTCATCTTAATATAAATGAAATTAGAATGTGTGTTTACTGATAAAAACATGTCTCCCCCATCCTCTTTATTGATACATTAGTTAACGTTGTTACATAAATGTTTACAAATAAAAAAGGAATAACAGCATAAAAATACAAGTACAGATTTTTGATAATGCATTTATGAAGCAGTATGAGAGTTGATGCCACGTTGACTCTTTATGGCAGATAACACTATTGAACTAGGCTAACATCTAGTCTCTGAAATGAACATATACAGAAAAAAACAGTTGTTCAGTTATCTTAATAAAAATATAATAAAAAGGAGCCCAGTGACTCTTCATTTTCAGATACTGCAGTGATCTAGACTTGCCAAACATTATAGACTTGCATGGGCTGTATTTGATATATATTTGTATCAGGGTCTGTAAGACAGACTACTATTGAACGTGTAACAGCAGTTTGGATGACAGATTGTATTGTGCGGGTAGATGTTCCCATAATGAATAATCAGTAGCTTTATGCATAGTTGAAAAACTTGATAAGAATTTCCAAATTGTTTCATTTGAAACACAAGAAATTAAATGAATTAAAAACTGACAAAATTCTGATCTGGTTGAGCATGTGGTCATTGCATATGTATAGTTTAATGCAAAAGTATTCATTAGTCTGATAGTTATGGCTCAGAAACAAAGACAAGAGTTGTTTGAGACTAATTTGAAATTGTCAAACTACCAAAAGGCACCAGTTAAGCTGATGACAATACACATGGCAAGTATCGTTGAAACGGTTTTCAAGTTATGGCCCAGAAACAAACCCTACCATCATGGGGGTGTTGGGGAGGGGGGAAGACATAGTTTATTATCACCTAGCAAAGAAAAAAAGGGCAAATCACAAATCAAATCAGGTCTCAAAGTTTCCTGGAAATGAGTTCACAATTCTACCTTCTTGAACAATTTTGTCCTATTGTCAAAAAGAAATTATTTCTATTTTACATAAATATTTTATGCCCTTTGCTGAATTGAACCTGTCTTGAATTTGATAAGCCAACACCGAAACTATTAAACTACCTAAAGACAAGACCTCATAAAACATTTTAGAGTTCTCTTTTTCTGTATGGGAAACTAGCATATGCTGCCAGTTATATGTGAGATGGCACCTTCTACAACAGCACATGCTGCACCATCCTACTATTAGTTTGTACCTCAGACCAAAGTGTTTCTAATGTTGCATAGCATCAGTTCATGTGCCCTAGTTCCCCTGCACCTACCATCATCATCGTCTTGGTCGTACCCCCCCGAACTGCTGATGCCGTAGCCACCAAAGGAGAACCCTGAGGCCCCATAGCCACCGTAGCCCCCATCTCCATCATCTTCCTGCTGCCGGCCGTACACATAGCGACGCGCTGCAACACAAACGTATGTTGTGGTACTACTGAATGCTGCTCAGTCAAAGACGTATTTGATAGTATGAGTGAGTGAGTGAGTGAATTACTTGACATCTTCCCTTATTGTCTAGCTATATCAGTATTACCACTTTGGTGTAATCCAGGTAGGCTTAGAGCTGGGACAACACACTAAGGCTACATATCGTAAAAGTCGGATCTCACTATGCTGCATATCAATAGTCGATGTCAATATGCTGCATATCCCAAAAGTCTGATCTTGACATGCTGCATATCAATAGTTGGATGTCTATATGCTGCATATCAATAGTTGATGTCAATATGCTGCATATCACAATAGTCTGATCTTGATATGCTGCATATCAATAGTTGGATGTTGATTTGCTGCATATCACTATAGTCTGATCTTGATATGCTGCATATCAATAGTTGATGTCAATATGCTGCATATCACAATAGTCTGATCTTGATATGCTGTATTTCAATAGTTGGATGTCAATATGCTGCATATCACAATAGTCTGATCTTGATATGCTGCAAATGTGTTTTGTTTGTTTGAATGTCTGAACCAGACAATTCAGTGATTGACAACATGAGCATCGTTTTGTTTGTTTGTTGTTGTTTAAAAACCGCGCTCAGCAATATTCCAGGTATACGACGGCAGTCTGTAGAAAATTGAGTCTGGACCAGACAATCCAGTGATTGACATCATGAGCATCAATCTATGCATTTGGTATACGATGACATGCATCAACCAAGTCAGCGAGCCTGACCATCCAACAAGCATAGTCGCCTATTACAGCAAGCATTGGTTGCTGAAGACATATTCTAACCCGGATCTTCACAGGGTCTGTTGCATATCAACAGTCTATTTCACTATGCTGCATATCACAATAGTCAGCAAGGGAGCGTTACTCAGCCAAGCACATGTTGCACATGAGGCCACAGCCCTGTGTCCCCATACTCACTGGACATGCACAGCTCCTTGGTTTCCGCGGTCTCGTAGCCACACTTGGGGCAGGGTATGGCCTGACCCTTGGGGTACTTGAAGCCTTTCCTTCTCACATGGTCATCACAGTAGCAAGTCTGGAAGAACCAACATCAAAACACTAGTTAACAGTCATACATCTTGTAGGAAAGTGATCAATATCTCATCATCAGTGGGTGACATGAATTGTGTCTTTTGAGTGAGTATGCTTTTACACTGCTTTTAGCAATACTCATGGCCGGGGACACAAGAAATGGATTTAACACATTGTACCATGTGGGAAAGCAAACTGGACCTTTAGCATGACGAACAAACGCTTCAGCCACTAGGCTACCCCACCGCCCTGTCATTGTTTTGAAACAAGGTGGGGCCCAAACTGGACATACTATCTTTTTCAGAGTCGGAGTAACTGACACCAACAGTGTAACAACATGCCTGAAGTCTAACGGTGACCTCTTACCTTACACCGTAAACAGGAAAACTGGCCCAGCTTGTTACAAGAAAGACCTGCAAGAAGAACCCATGAGAAAGATGAGAAAGGGAACTGTCAAATTAACAAACTTTAAAATTACATTACTTAAAACTCTCATCACATCACAAACATAGCTGTCAGCAGTATGGTGGTCACATTTCGGTCAAAAACACAAAGAATGGTCTCCAAAAAATCCATATATCATATTTGCCACAATCATTACCCATGGTAAAGAAGACAAAATTTATGGATAACAATTTCTTTATTATAATGTAATAGCAACGTTTTGGTATAGATCCTTATTCAGGATAATAACGAACTGGTATATTTGTTTGTATGTTTGCTAGTTTGTTTAACACGCACTCAGGAATATTCAAGCTATATGACGGTGGTCTGTAAATAGACCAGACAATCTAGTGATTGATGCTATGATCATCGATCCATGCAATTGGGATATGACGATATGCATCAACCAAGTTAGCGAGCCTGACCACTCGATCCTCTTAGTCGCCTCTTACGACAAGCATAATGCTTTTTACGGCTAGCATGGGTTGCTGAAGACCTATTCTACCTCGGATCTCTAGGATACCCTGGTGTATACATTGGTGACTCCTGGCGACCTTTGGTAATACACCTTGAGGGTCCCAGGACTACTACTGTGCCATGAAATGAAGTGTGTGTGACGCCATAAGCTTGTTACAGATGGGCATTTCCTTGCTAGAGTGAAGAACATCGGACATGGTCTGTCCAAACATTGATTGTATTTCTCAATAGAAACATCAGATAATTAATTATACATGCTTCAACAACAAAATCCCTCTCATTCCAATATTCATACATAGTTTCATCCGCTGTGGATATTATTTGCATCCATTCTTTTTTGAATGCGTACAGGATCTTCAGTCAAACCCTGTCTGGTGAAGTAAACATTACGCCTGGGACGATACACAAACTGTGCGATCCCATACGTATCACGATACTTGTAAGTGCTCTTTTCTGTGGTGTGTAAGCCATCTTTTTCATAGACAGGATAGTCAAACACCTGGCACACTGACGATTTACAGCTGGCACTGTTAAGTACGGCGCAACGGAAGAAAATATTTACTTTTACACAACTAATTAGTGTTTGGTGTAACAGCCATTATAGAAAACATTTTAGGTATGAATTGATAGTTTGTACTTAGTGTGCACTAAGATCGATACTTGTATCGGGAAGTAGAATACTGCGATCCACTGATGCATCGGAGTATCGTCCCACCACTAGCAAACATGGTTTTGAATGCTGTAAACATGGCTTACATTTATAGTTTTCGGACTCCAGGGTTTGGCAGCTAGCCTGGTGTTCAAATTGGTCATCCTCACACAGGAAATTGTGACAGAATGAACACCTAAATATTCGACCACCTGAAATATTCAAAGAAAACATTTAAACAGAATCCTATAAGAATGGTCATGATTGCACTGAATTGGTATTCCTTGGGCAGTCTTCTCACATATTCTATTTGTTCACATGTAACTCAGAATCCATATTCATTGTAAATAATCTGAGGCTGGGCTAGACAAACCATAGGTTGATATCAAGAGCAATCCCATGCCATCAAGGTACGCTGACAAGCATTCAACCACCAATTCTAGCCTGTAATCACCTTGGAGAAACTTGACTGTAGCTCAGACATACACATTGCAGTGTAATTAACTATTTTTCAACATGAAGAGACCTTATTAGCATACAAGCATGGATATGCTGATATACCAAGAATCATAATCGGGGTAGACCAATGATCAGCAGATCCTTGCATGCTTAAGGGACATAACTCTGCAAAACAGATTACAGAACCCTAGATCACTGGACAAATTCCCCCAACAGGGTTCAAAATAAACAAAAGTTTCCAGGTCCAAGACAAGTAAAATGCAGTAACAACTAGTTACATTTCCTAAATCTAAATGTTTTACCATTTACTAAACGGCAACTGAAGGCAGATCATTTTAGCGGACAAATGAAAAGAAAGAGTAATATTCCAATGGCATCTGTGATGGGATAAATGGGGTTCACAGCACACCAGGTATCGCCTGATAGCAACACTGTAGGCATGGTTCCGGAGAAGGATGCGCCACAGTGTAGTTGGTCACATGGACACGAGTTGTGCTGGTACAAACCAACCAAGTATTCTTATGTTTCTCCTCAACAAAAACACTTGTGTTACATCTAACATGCCTTGAACAAGAGATTTATCCAACATAATTCACCACATGGGGGAAACAGAGAGCCTCTGAAGCTCACCTGAACTATGAAGAAATAATGGCATCCACACTTAACATGTTTACCTCGGATCAGATTTCTGTGAGCAAGTTTTAGAGACGCAATAGCTGGAATCATGCATACAAAGTTAGGACTCAGAGGAAATGCTCTTACCAATGGACACATACAGACAGGCAACCAGGGCCCACTTGCACAAAGCGATCTTAACTATTGTAAGCCTATGTTAAAGTATGGGAGTTACGATCATCTTAGCGCTAAGATCGCTTTGTGCAAGTGGGTCCAGATGGTCAATGCACCATGACATAAGTTCACTTTCAGGTGAGCTAAAGACATTTTCTGTCCCAAATGTTAGATGTAAATTTTGAATCATTTTTTTTTTGCAATAAGGAACACAGATATGCTGCCCCGCATGCTTTGCTCACCCATACTGACAACAAAATAACCAACCAACCATCATCTGTACTAATATAGAATACTAAACGAGCTCCCGTGTAATACCAATTTTATGAAACGAGTGAATAGTTCACGAGTTTCATAAAATTGGTTTTACACCGGAGCGAGTTTAGTATTTTATTTATTACTTGTCATTTATAATGTTTTTAGAATTATACTGTTGAGTGTAAATAGGCTGACACCTACACGATCCATGGCATAATCCAATTGAGTTTAACAGAATAATACTTCAAACACGTCAAAAGTTGAAACGTATGAATTTAATATCATACAATGGTCCAGCTTTAGAATTCAGGCGTTCGTCCCACAAAATTATCGTAGTGCTAAGGCTATCACAACTCACATAATTTAACTTAGACTAACGACTGTCGTTGCGCTAGAGTACGATCGCCTTGTGGAACGGGGCCTTGCACCTCAAAGTTTACAATCACGTCACAATACCCAATGACGTAATTTGTTGAATTTTGTTGCATGATCCATCGGCGAAACAATGCCATGTGACGTCAGCCTAGCAACAAGGTTGCTGGGGTCATCGAGTGTGCATAAGCTCCTCCCAGTGATCTATCATCTCCACACACAATGTCGTTGAATACGCCAAGGGATGTTGAGAGCTTTCAATATGTTGAGAGTACATAAGCACGCGTTTTGGTATTACATAATTTGTAATAAAGCTGTATGTTTATTAAACGGGTGATCTCTTCACGGGCAAGTAATAAATCAGCTTATCACTGTGGAGGATTCTAAATTGTTTTACGCAGCACTCAGCAGTCTGGACCAGACAATCCAGTGACTGATATTATGAGCATCGATCCATGCAATTGGGATCGATGACATGCTTCAACCAAGTCAGCGAGCCTGACCACTCCATCCCGTTAGTTGCCTTTAATGACAAGCATAGTCACCTTATTACGGCAAGCATGGATTGCTGAAGACCTATTCTATCCCGGATCTTCACGGGTCTTGGATGATGTATGCTCCTTTAGAGAAATTGTCTAAGTGACGACAAATCAAATTGGACTAAAAGGCCTTATTTTGAACAGAGAACGATCTGCAGCCTTACCATGATCATAGACGCCTCTCCTACACTCTATACAGTCTGCTTCTGTGAGGGGGCAGATACAGGCGTGAGTCTGTAGACACTTCCGACCGTGGCAGATCCACGTCTCACAGAAATCACAGATTGCACCCTGCAATGAAGAAACACAGAAACGATAAACTTATCTCACAACATACTATGGTTTATGAATCTAATGAAGTTCACTTAAGTACCATTCTAACAGTCTGTTCGAAAAGTAAACATTGCTTGTAGTACCATTTTCAGTTGATTTTAATAAATAAATACGGCCACTTCGTTAGCTGAGCTTACTAGACCGAACAGTGTATGAATGAGTTAAGTATAACACCACTTTCAGCAATATTCAAGCAATATCACAGCAGGGGACTCCAGAAAAGGGCTTCACACGTTGGGGAAAACGAACCAGGCCTTTGGCATGACTAACCATGTTAACATACGCTTAAACGATCTAGTTGTCCAGGAAGCTGGGTCTTGGCGATGCAGTTGGACCCTGTAGACATCAAGAGCGTGAACCACTAATGCATGCCCTGATGCTAGTGCTAGTAAAATACGGTCTTGAGGGTGACATGTTCAAAATCTTTATCTTCTATAGGTTCAAAAATCTCAGAAGATAAATGGCGTAAGATCCCAAGGAGGTGATCGAAATTGAGTTGATTGACCCGCAAGTTTGTAAGATTGAATGAGAGCTTGCAATTCTGCTACCGTGGAGATCTTAGAAGCCATAGCAGTGGCAATAACTGACTCAATTGCTGCTTGATGTCAGCCAATGTCAGCTTCCTTGCAGAACGCAGGTGCTAGAGATACTCAGCAATTGGTGGTGTTGATGCAGTGGTTGGGCTTGTGATATCTCGGGCTCTACAAGAACTAAATCCTGTGAGGAATCGGCTTCCCCATCCTGGTTGGGTACAGGGGATGAAGTCTGGGCACTGGTACTGGACGACCATCCGTGGCTGGCAGGGAAGTATTAACCTGGTCGCTGTCAGTCGCATGTGTACCGGGTGTGGTCATAGTCTGGGCTGGAATATCCTCGGAGGCTGTATTTTTCTCCACAGATAACCATGTGATGGCAGATCTTTTGGTTGGTTCGTGCTGCTGCTGGAGTAACTCGTTTAGGTTTCTTAGTAGCGAATGGGCCATGCTCTGTATATTTTTATAAAGACTTTGATCACTGGCCTCTGCCTCAGTTCTGACAATTGCAAATATAGCTGCAAAATGCTTTCTCGGAGAGCTGTTTACACTGAGAGCATCTGTTAGACAACTTGCACTGGCCATGACAGTCACAACATATGGAATGAGGATCTACTGTCGAAAATGTATGATTACAGTTTCTCCAGTGAACTGTCTAATACGCTGCATAGGTCAGAGGAAGATTTGAACAAGAGTCATCAGAAAGATGACATATCCCCCCGGCAGCTGTCTGTAAAGTAACCACTAGTAAATGTGCAATTCTGTATGTAATGAGTCAACAGTTGAATGTTCTTTTAGAAGCATACATTGTTTACCCACTGAATGGTTTTCGAATTCTGGCCCGGAAACGAACCCGTTCCCCAACGGAGTCTAGGTCCAACTTCTTTCCATAAAAATTGTAAAAAATAAAAGTTCGTAAAAAAAAGAAAATATCAAAAGGCACCACTTCAGTATGTGCCTGACAGCTTTGCCAAGTTTCGATCAAATACACTGAATGGTTTTCGAATTCTGCCCCAGAAACGAACCCCAACCCATAATTGAGTCTATGTCCAACTTCATTCCATAAAAATTTTAAAAAATAAAAATTAGAAAAATCCCAAAATATCAAAAGGCACCACTTCAGTATGTGCCTGATAGATTTGCCAAGTTTCGATCAAATACACTGAATGGTTTTTTAATTCTGCCCCGGAAAAGAAAATGATTACAGACGGACAGACGAACAGACTGACGGACAGACAGACTGGCTGATCGCTATATCCCCCCGCATTATTTGCCGGGGGGATAAAAAAAGGTACAGCTACAGCTCAAAACACGTCCCCACGATGAGAAAAAGAATGAAAGGCAGGGCATAGGGTCGTCATGCACAGAATGTATAGGATGTGTTGGTCTTAAGCACATGTTAAGTGTTGTTTGAAGCAAAAAACTTGTTCTAGGAAGTTGCCACCCCAGGATCGAAGAAGGAAGAAATGCATAGTGTGAGCTAAGATAAGTTTCAACATTAGTAATAGACTCAAACTTGGACTCGTGAAAAGTCACAGGCTACATTCTAATATCACTGTGGGAAAGATCATAACAAAATCTTAAATCCTAATGTAAAATAAATATGTTCCGATTCATTCCTGCATTTGATGAGAATTTCGTCAGTCAACTCACCACCATGGCCATCCCTGTGGTGTACGTGCCAGCATGCTTGATCACACAGTCACTCGACTTCATCATACACTTGGTCTTCCCTGGAAATAACATACACCTTATCTCACAAGGGGCAGCCATGTCATACCAGAAGACATTCATAGATGGTCCTTGTTGTTAGAACTTAACAGTAGCCCACTACCCCGTGCTAGTACAAGTTCCTGCAGGCTAGTACAAGTTCCTGCAGGCTAGTACAAGTTCCTGCAGTCTAGTACAAGTTCCTGCAGGCTAGTACAAGTTCCAGCAGGCTAGTACAAGTTCCTGCAGGCTAGTACAAGTTCCTGCAGGCTAGTACAAGTTCCAGCAGGCTAGTACAAGTTCCTGCAGTAGTCTAGTACAAGTTCCTGCAGGCTAGTACAAGTTCCTGCAGGCTAGTACAAGTTCCAGCAGGCTAGTACAAATTCCAGCAGGCTAGTACAGGTTCCTGCAGGCTAGTACAAGTTCCAGCAGGCTAGTACAAGTTCCAGCAGGCTAGTACAAATTCCTGCAGGCTAGTACAAGTTCCAGCAGGCTAGTACAAGTTCCAGCAGGCTAGTACAAATTCCTGCAGGCTAGTACAAGTTCCAGCAGGCTAGTACAAGTTCCAGCAGGCTAGTACAAATTCCTGCAGGCTAGTACAAGTTCCTGCAGGCTAGTACAAGTTCCAGCAGGCTAGTACAAGTTCCTGCAGGCTAGTACAAGTTCCAGCAGGCTAGTACAAATTCCAGCAGGCTAGTACAAGTTCTCCTGCAGGCTAGTACAAGTTCCTGCAGGCTAGTACAAGTTCATGCAGGCTAGTACAAGTTCCTGCAGGCTAGTACAAGTTCCAGCAGGCTAGTACAAGTTCCTGCAGGCTAGTACAAGTTCCTGCAGGCTAGTACAAGTTCCAGCAGGCTAGTACAAATTCCAGCAGGCTAGTACAAATTCCAGCAGGCTAGTACAAGTTCCTGCAGGCTAGTACAAGTTCCTGCAGGCTAGTACAAATTCCAGCAGGCTAGTACAAGTTCCTGCAGGCTAGTACAAGTTCCTGCAGGCTAGTACAAATTCCTGCAGGCTAGTACAAATTCCAGCAGGCTAGTACAAATTCCTGCAGGCTGGTACAAATTCCTGCAGGTTAGTACAAATTTCCCCAGTTTCACAATTAGAAGGTCATGATATCTTTACCCAGGCTAGTAAAGCTTTTTAGTTTAGTTCTACCTTGGACTAAACATTGTTTGAAAAAGTGTAAATAGCTCGAGTATGACCAATACAACTGACAGCAGTGTATTGTCTACTTCCTTGTCCTGATTTCAATCCCACTTTAGGGCATGCTCGCTGATTGGATCGTCAGAGTACCAGACAGCCAATTACGCAACGTTTGCTCATAACATAGGGTTTCCATTGATTACAACCAGGAAACGGAAAATTTAGGGGTGGGAATAGCCAGACAGATATGAAAACTGATTCATAAAGTTTAAACCGAAAACATGGGCAGTAAGTGTTCAATTTTTTCATCAAAAACACCATTTGGGTCAATAATCTGGACACGATAAGTTTTCATGTTTACTTGTCCGGGGCAAGTTCACAATTTTGATGTTTCCACAACCCTGCTATAATACCCTGATTTGATATTCAATCATCACATGCCACTGTGGCCAACAAAACTTTCTGTATACAGATAGACATCTATCTACTCACCACACGCTCCGCATACAGGCAACCTCTGAAGTGAGCCACAGAAGTAACAGAAAGCCCTCGACTTCTGACTCCTGTGAACATTAGAAGTATCAGTTTTTACTTTTAAGTTTCATGCAAGCTCTAAAACGACTGACCACTATGAAGGATATATCTGTCACTGTTTTATCTCAGAATTGATTGAAATAAGGGTATAGCGATGCTACTCAGAAACATCACACCAAACAATCATCATTATTGAAGTGAATAACCGTGTTTACATAGTTTTCGACGCACTCCATGTTTACATACTGACAGCATAGCATGATGCAGGTATACCCACCACTACCCCTGCCCCTGCCCCCGCCCCCACCCCTACCCCTGCCCCTACCCCTGCCCCAGCCCCTGCAACTACTCCTGCAACTACTCCTGCCCCTACCCCTACCCCTGCCCCTGCCCCTGCCCTTGTCCCTACCCCTGCCCCTACCCCTACCCCTACCCCTGCCCCTGCCCCTACCCCAACCACCCCCCACACACATAATTTGTACTGATCTATTAGGTATTGTATTATGTGACTAGGTGAAAAAAACGTACATGAATTCAGCAGTGTTTACCTTACATAATAAAAAACATCAGTTGACTTACCTTTTGCAGTGGTCACATTCCTGAAAAACACATTCTGGGTTTAAGTGACAATTGATTGAAATTAACAGGTATCATTTCTAGCCTAGAGAGCTGTGAGGGGGTCAACAGACAAGACAAGACCCTGCAGGATCCTGACTTGACAGGGTCAGCTCACCCCCATATCATTAGACTGTCCAATTAAGAAACATCTATCACGTAGGAGTGTGAAGTGACCCATGAATCATCAAACTATGGCAAATAATCTGCGCCCTCTACAGGAGTCAAACAGCCACAATTTGCAGGTAGTTGTTTGGATACATGTATCTATTACCATCCTAGAAATACAAACTTCACTGAAAGCAATTGCCACATCAGACTTCCGGGGACACATATTAGGATGGTGTAAACATACAATTTCATGCACAAACCCTGCATATGAAAAAATATATCCTAAATAATAACATTTTAAAATTCATCATGGTCAGGACTGACGGCATTGTGTGGTCAGGCTTGCTGACTTGGTTGATGCATGTGATTGTATCCCAAATGTGTGAGTTCTTGTTCATGATTTCAATCATGGATTGTCTGGTCCAGGCTTGATTATTTACAGACCACCATCCTATAGCTGGAATACTGCTGAGTGTGGCATTAAACAATAAACAAACAAACACAACATGATGACACGAGGGGGCAGAGCCCCTAAGTCGTGCAATAGCTCGCTGATATTTTGTACACACTGTTGAGGGTCAGTTACGTAACTGTTTTATCCAATGGCTGACAAGCACGCAACTCAGTGAAAAGGGCACATCTGCACAAAATCTTTCTGCCACAGAATCTATTTTATCATTTCAAAATGTTGGAAATTGAAGGGCCAAAACATTTTAATCAGATCACAGAATGTGGGTGCCTCTTTGTGTCAACATTGTTCTACATTGTATTACTACAACAGATGCAATTAAAATGTTGCTATTTGTCCTTTGTTTGATGTTGTAACAATGTAGAGGGTGAGGGTGACCCAGTCATCACCAACCCCCCTTCATTCGGGTGAGTAACCAATCAGCGATGCCCCAATAGTGTGGTGATATTTCAGATGCAACATATGTGATATCTGAGATATCAGGGCCTGTTTTCAAGTAAGGCATATATCGCCATGAAAACATCAGGGGAAATTATGCCGGCTATTGGATAATTTCCTGACAGCGTATGAATTGAACACATATATTTTGAACAATTTCTGGAGGGAAAGAATTTTGAAAACTGGTTTCCGTGTATCTTTACTGTTCTCACAGTATCTTAACGTGTGTACCCGAGAGTCAAATGTGGCAATTTTGTTCAATGATGTTTTCTATTCTTGACTGGTCATATACATTTGTATCCAAACAACTACCGACTAATAGCCACCATTCGTTTCCTTCTTGGGGTATGTTTTCCTAGTCGGACTTTGTCTCCTGTCCTGATTTGGGGTGAGCTGAATCTATAGGACCATCTCAGGGCTTTTGGCTTGTTCACATTTCACGGAAACTTTGAAAGAAAAAGACATTATTGTGCCAGAAACACTGGATAAGTCATTTACTCAATTTTAAAGAAACATGACAAGAAGCTCGTTACTGTATTTGGTCTTTAGCGAAAAGAATGATTTGACAACAAACTAGTTACTGGATTTGGTCTTTAGTGAACAGAATGACCTGACAACAAGCTCTATGAACGCATCTATCGGGAACAAAACGACGGTCAGTTATTGGCCACGTATCTGTGTCTTCAACTGCTCTTAACTCTTACCATTAACTGATTACATGGCCTATCTGCCAACGGTCTTTCGAACTGGGCATTTCTTATACCCCTCTGTCTCTCCTTCTGTTTTTCGGCCTTTTTCCTTGCTCCTGTCTTTTTCTTAGGCATGGTATCAAAGTTTTAAGCTGTTAGGTACCGTTAAACAACGCTGTTTACACTGCTGTCATATCATCTCCAACCAAATTCTACCATGTGTTTTTGCCGGAAGTAACCAGTGTGACGTTGAAAAGATTAAAATCCGGAAAATATATATTATAGGGTATATGATTTATCTTCTTTAAGTGGGTTCATATTTATTCCGCGGATCAACTGTGATCAAATATCATGTTTATTAATATTAATATGAATATAGTATACGAATGCTTGGTTTGACATCGATCACAACCGCGTGTAACGTTTTCCCCCTAAACATAGATCTTGGCCAATTTTTTACTTGTTTATCAAAGTTTAGTATTTATTTGTTTATCACGTTTGGTATTACTTGTATAATCATGTTCAATATTGTTTCACATTGAGCCCCAAAGAATAAGTATGAGGTTTACTTACAGGTTTTTAATACATACTTGGTTATCTTACAAATAACACACAAATGTATCGCACGATGAACAACTGTCATTTTCTGAATGATGAAATTCAATTTTCTATTTCAACTCTCAAGTAGTGCAAAATCTTTCACCCCTTCCTCTAATTCCCTATTCAAATGGGATTACCAATGTTCAAATGTATCAATAAAATACATTTATGGAACTCGGATCCGTTGGAAGCGCTCGTAAAATGGTCATCTCATCTCTTCGTGATTTCTTGGCATGAGATGATAAGAACTTTTTACATGGTAGTGGTCCTCGTGAACACGTCTTCTAATTCCATTCCACGAGGTTATAAATGTGTGTGTTTTCTGCATGTAGGTTTAGACACACTGTCAGGAATAAGGGACAGACAATTGGATATTCGGGGTTGTGGGTGAGACTAATTTTAAAGTAAAACAAACTGCAACAATGTCATTTTTGTGGCAGGCAATTCTTTTTATTTTGGGGGGCAACAACCTGAAGCATAATTATTTTTTTCTTAGAAGTTTCGGAGGCGGTTTCATAAATGGTCCGTCCCTTAATATCGGGACACTTCGATAATACATGTACAATTATTGGCTGCGAACTGCAGCGTTGCGGTAAAATTAGGTACTACAATATTATAAGTATGTATGTCAATACATTCTGGCAGAAAACATGACCAAAAAAACAAAAAAACTATGGAAGTGTTGGAACAAAGGTTGTTTTTTTATAACGAAGTGATATATTCTTTTAGTAAGACTTTACACTAGGCCGTGTCTGGTACCCGTGGAAACACGGAAACTAAAAAAAAAAAACGTTGTCTGTCACAATAAGAGACCATATAATAGAGTCTGTTATATGGTCTCTGGTCACATTACAGAAAGGACGATCTTATTCATGTGGACAATTTGCATGTGGTGTCCCAAAATTGTTTTGTTGTTTAACGCCGCACTCAGCAATATTCAAGCCATATGGCGGCGGTCTGTAAATAATCGAGTCTGGACCAGACAATCCAGGGATACATATAATGAGCATCGATCCACACAATTGGGATGGATGACATGAATCAACCAAGTCAGCGAGCCTGACCACCCGATCCCGTTAGTCGCCTCTTACAAGCATAGTCGCCTTTTTACGGCAAGCATATGGGTTGCTGAAGACCGGATGTGTCCCAAAAAGTTAACTTTGGGGATATAATGAGGGCATGGTGTAGAGATAGTGACTCTACTTATAATTAGTGCAATCCTTTTGTGTATTTGGCTATACTATCCATGATATTATAGTTTGTATTTTATAGTTTGTTTGTTTTTTAAACTGCTTGAATGCATTATTACAAAGAATATCTGATTTAATCGACTGAAAATGCCAGTACTAATTATGTTTGCTGCTTTTCGACATTTTCGTTCATACATTTATACCTTACAAATTCGGATTGTAACTGCTGGTATTAGCTCGGGCCGACTAACATCCACAGTAGCGCTAAAGCTGGATTCAAGGTGTGTATAAAATACCACGCACATCGTTTTATGGTGTATATACAATCTTGAAGTTATTAGCCTAATTACACACGCCCAATGTGTCATTTTCACACTTCGCACTAATCACAGCTGCTTTACCCAGTCTGGAAACGGGTACCAGTGTAACCTAATTAACCGGGTGCCGTTCCTTGGTATTATGCTACTGTACGGCATTGTTCGGTAAATGCACTCCGATTCGTGAAACTTTAGTTATTCACGCATGCGTCAAAAGAGTACTTGCTCTACGACTAGTTCGATGAGAAGCATCTCGCGGAAATCTCAACGTAAAGGCTACATACTCAAGCAGTTATTATTAAAACATATTTATAAATCGTTTATAACAAATGTAACCAATATAAAAAATATTCACATGATGCCCAAGGACCAAAATATGTAATCACTTGTCATGTGATTAACTAGTTGTTAATAGTTGTTCAGAAAGTTGTTTAGCGCCTCCATATTTAGAACCGCAGAACGATGCTTCCTACTTGTGAGTAGGTGATGGAGCAATTTTTAAACTATTCTATGGAATACTGTGTTCTGCTGTCCGGTTAGATGGGTCTGCAGCCCCTCGAGTTTGCTGACTGTCTAGCAGACAGTCCCTATTTTAGGGAAAAACTTCACGAACATGAAAGGGAGCTTGAAAGTACAAGTAAAGGAATTAAAAGTCTAATATCTCATGGTAAACAAGTGTTCGATGCTGCCAAAAGTAAGTATATTTGTATGCAATTATTGAATGCACTAGTTCATAGCATACCACAGTGCACAGATAATATTGCAATGATGTTATTTACAGTTACGAGCCAGTAATATGGGCGAAGATCCCGCGCTGACAGTGTCCTCTCCACGAGCTCACATGGCACAGATCATCTGATGTCATTCATCGACTCATTGTCAATGCCATGATCACTATCACAATATCATGCGTGTGAACTGGTAGACGAGATATTAAAGGGTGGAATATGACTATGTGCCACCTTGAGAGAACTTAAATAGCACATTAATGATTTTAATAATATTGTTTCTGTGTCATCATTGCTTATGAATATTATCAGTTCTACTGTGCAATGTGATGGGAGTAGGCTTATCAAAGTTAGTATTGATGTTTGGATGGAGTGAACCATTTTAGTAGGAATATTAAGTCAGTATCTACATGATTTAAGAGGATTGTGCTCACATTACACCAAAGTTGTAACAAATGTGGTTCTGTTCATGCTGGTCATTATTTGTGTATATGTGAAAATATATGCTGCTTTTTTATTTAAGGAACTTTTGCATTTGACTATCTTTGTGTATGGGACGGTGTTGTAAGTGTGTGCAGATGTGAGACTTGCTTATTCGGAATATGAAGACAACATTTTATATGTTTTGTTAATAATATGGTATGAAACAGGATTCAATGTCTCAAACTTTTGTCATTAAGTTACCAACTCATAGTTTTATCATTCTCACAATAACCATGATAACGTGACCTTTCAAAGTTTTTGTGTGGAGTATTTAGCTATTGTTCTCAATGTTATGTTTCCTTGTTGAGCACATGATAAGGTTTCATGATCATGATCAGGAACCAATCCTGTTGAAAGGAAAAGAAAACTGAAAATACGTTAAGTGTCAAAGATACTGAAAGTGAAAGTCCTTGTTTGGTAATAACTAGTTCCTTCTTTCAAGAATATAATAATGATAATTCATAATAAAAGATACTTATGATGCTCATACATTGTTATTATACAATACTGGCATTGTGACAATTAATTGACAAGTTGTTGAATATGTATCTTATAAGAATTTATGACTGAGTTTCCATCACTCTCCAGACTTTCCATCAGGATCATTTGAGAACCAGTTGACCTCTTTTGATTCCAGTAGATAGTATTAATCAAGGAATTAATGCTGCTGAGCTGAACTAGTTTTTACACACTCAGCCATGTAGAATGCAAACACAAGGCCACTTTAGATGTATTATCAGATTTTATTTGAAATTTATAAAAATGTGAGGCTGTGTGTGAAAGTGTGTGTGCTCAGGACCAAAATAGTCATCTTTGTCAAAGGTGTAGTCCTTAGCAAATGTTCAGGAGTATATATACTGTGTTTTGGGGGAAACAATTTGGTGTAGCAGTTTGTGTAGTTTGACTGTTGACAGATGTGATTCAGATTAAGCATAACTCTTTGGTAGGCTTAGGTATAGGTGTATTTCTTCACGTAAGGAATAAAGGGAATATGTATAGCTATTATTTACATTTTTAGTTCGCAAATGGTTTGTGGGCAGTAAAATGATGTGAGGCACTGCCGCAGATGGGAATGAAAATCCAATAATTAATCTGTGATGGCCTAACTGTAAACATGGCAAAAACATCTGTTACCTTTTCTTTCATATATTTTCAAGGTTTGTGATGTGTGGCTTTGGTTCAGCGGTGTGTGTTATCAATCAAATTGTGTGGCCTACATGCTCTATTTACCACATCATTAATGGGGACAGTAGGAATAGTTTTGAAGCCATTGTATTTCTCAAATATTTGGCAGCAAATGTCACTTTCAACCTGCTTTCAAATCATGGAAATGGAGCTGATGTACATATTTAATGCATGTTATGATATGATTTGCCTCTTTAACATGACCAAGCTAGTATTAGTCTAAATAATTTATTGACCTTTGTGACCTCAACCATGGTCTAGTGGATAGAGCATCTGACTTGGCAGCGGGACATCAGTGGTTCGATCTTGTCCGTGTCATACACATAAAAGATGGTACTTGTTGTTACCCTTTCTGGCACTGGGCATTAGGGGGTTGCCCCGGAGTCAGGTTGCCCCGGAGTCAGTATACTTTGTTTGAGCAGCATTGTATGCCAGTGGGCTAGCACTATGACAAAACACACGCCACGCCACGCCACGCCACGCCAAGCCACGCCACGCCACGCCACGCCACGCCACCACGCCACACCACACCACACCACACCACACCACAGAGGCATGCATGTTGCTGTATAAGTGCACACTCTTGAACGCTAGGTTAAACCCAATTTAACCTTACCTATTGATCTACACTATACTCCATGATAGTATGACAAATTAATGGCACTCATGGTCTTCAACTCATTGTTCATACCATTATTCCAATTATTACCGTTACTCATGTTACTAAGGGTGTCACAATTGTCTGATGAATAATAATGCATGGTGAGTCTACAAGTGATGATACAATATACAATACACCAACCAATGTATCAAATTTGATTTTAGTTCCGTATGGATTTTCAAAAGGAAATATAAACAATGTTTTGCAATAACCTGGCCTGACCTCTACTCTAGCTGGCTTTACCTATCACCAAACAAAATACTAAATCTGATTACATAATACTATTAGAACGATCTCAGATTACCCAATAATGTGATTTCAACACACACCTGCTGATGGCCTGACCTCATGTTGCCAGGGACACATTGAATATGTGGAATTTGACGCAAACATCGACACAAATTTAATTTCTTGATATATATGATATTGTGATTCAAGTATCGTCACTGATACTTGAAGTAGGTGTATCGTGATACCCCTAGTAATAATGACAAGGTAATCCTACTGAAAATGCTTTTAACCATTACTCAACAGTGTTCACATCTTGTGACGTGGCCTGGTCACTTCCTGCTTTAACTGAAGTTTTTTGCAGTTAAGGTTTCTAATTCGACGTATTTTTCGTTTCTTTTTGAAGGTCAAATACTAAGTATGAAAAATCTGAACCTGAATATATTTCTATATCACAATTTGCGGTTATTGTTGAAATGGATATAGATAGATGTAATCTCATACAGGCTGTATGCATGAGACAGGCATGATTGTGATATGTGTGACAACTGTCCCAATCCAAGATGTACGACTGTATTGACTGTGTGTGGCATATGGATGTGTTGTGTTGATGTCAGGATGGTACATATGATTAATGGAGGAAACCCTTGTAATGCTGCAATGTTGATTCACTAATCTGCTAATTCCTTTCATCAAGGAAGGTACTGGGTCATGCTGACCTGGTAGTTTGATTAATTATGCAAGTAGGCATGTTTTGGAGATTCAGGATGATGATTGATCTTAGTTGAAGAGAAAATTTTAACAGTGCCACACTTTTATGTGACCAGGTCGAATTTTATTTGAAGTTTGTTGTCTTTCTTTGTACTCTATGCATTATTAATGATGATTCAACAAGGGTCCCCTCCCTTTGTCCCTCCTTCACTCACTCACTCACTCACCTTAATAGGCATAGTATACATTTTATATGATATGCTTTCAATCCCTCAAATTCATTTAAGGATTGACTGTGTATTTTTTTCGGTTCATTGAGGTATGACTTGAAAAACCTATGTGCAAACTGTATGAATCCGAGAAGCATCAGTTTTTCGATTCATACCTCAATGAACCGAAAAACATACACAGTCAATGCTTATAATTAAATTCGACTAGATAAAACATGTTTTATCTACAATAGTTTAATCAAAAACAGTTGTATATATCAAAACAGACAAAAATGACGAGATTGATACATATTCCAGATGTAGGAATAAATACTGTGGCATGACATGAATCAGGTGATCGTTTAATTTATGCACATAATTTGACACGCGTACACAGTCAGTAGCCAGTCAACGGAGAGTATGATCAAAACAGTGTTCATTGGACCTGTCAATTAAGGCAAGAGGCGAAAAGAACTGCAACAGTCAGACTGTAACGAACCCGAAGAAATATGTTGGGGAGAAGGCGGCTGTTTCAAATAACATGGTCAGTTACCGCCAGATTCAAACATTACTTCCGGATTACGGTAAAACACAGTTGGAAAAATTCTAGTTAGAAATGAAACCTGAAGACATGAAAGTTGAACCGAGGCGAGTAGGAAAAAAACAGGTGAGCGAGACAGCACGTTTGCTGTTTCATTCATTCTCGGCCTTCGGTTTCAAAGGGTAGTTTGGACAATGAATATGCATGAGAGTCGCTAAATGTCCTGTGCATGACGATACGCGTGAGCAGAAAGGGAATTCCCTCGACTGTAATATTGGGATTCCCCGACATTCCGCAGTAATAAAAGTTGTGCGCCTCGGTGGGCGTGGCTTACTTATTTACATTCTGAATGCAATAACACATGACAAATTAAGCTAATCAGAATGCAGGAATTTCAGTGAACACAACGAAAACTTAATTATTTGGAATTAGTGTGTGAAACCCCCCAATAAAATACCATGAAAAACGGGGCATTGATCATGTTGATGCTAAAATTCAGCACTTCAGATCTTACAAGTTGTCAAGTGGTCTGTCTTCAAATTATCTTTGACATCTGACATGTTTAAGAAGTGATGTTTATGTACATTATCAATAGACAGTCCAGATAAGCTGCATATTTACATAAAATACACAAATGAACCATGTTACCCAATGTTACCCATCTTGTGTAACTGTATTTCTTTACAGGTCTGTATTTACTGATCAAATACAGGCATCACACACATACGTGAACTTTACTGCAATGAATACTGCAATATTAATGCTCTCTGTCTCTCTTATAGTTTATTAGACATGTGTATTGCCGATGTGAGCTTATGCAGCATATTACACATTTGGGGTTGCACATGACCAGATGCAAATTAGAAGTCAGCTGAAAAAATACACAAATAACTAGTGGTGGAACGATACACCGATGCATCGGATGATCGTGATTTTATACTTCTTGGT